TCGTAAAGCACAAATTAATTCGAATTTACAAATATCTATATTTATATCGTAGGACATCGGTACTCCTCTTATCTGAAACTGCGGTGCAGCAACTAAAAGTACTCCTCCTTGCTTACGTCCATCGGCACGATCACAACGTAATATGGAATAGCCGGTTGGTATAATCTCCGCGTTATGAATCGCTTCATTGCACCCAGTCTCTGTAATGGCAAATATATCCGAACCAGAGGATTCGAGTAAAGATAAAAAATTTAATGTCTTTGTTCTTACACCTCTTACATTTTGATATAAAATATTTATGGTCTTAATTCATAGATTGTTGCCCTGTGAGGTGTGGGTTCTTGCTTGATCTACGAAACCAAATCCATTCGCTGTATTCAACGTCTAGTGGCCAAATGTCAGGGTTACATAATTTCTCATAATTACCTTCAGACACACAGACTCGAAATGATGAGTAACCCCTCTCTGTTTTGTGGATTAACTTATTCACATATAATTAATAGAATCAGGCGTTACTTTGCGGAAATCCATTATATAAAAGCTTTTACAAAAATTTACTTCGCTACGGTGGCTAAGCCACCGTAGAGTCTATATCACCTGAGGATGCCTCGTGTAGAGGCGAAACACGTGTCGTATTATCGTCAGTGGTGTGTCTTGCCTAGTGTAGTGGTGTTGGAAGTAGCGGTGCTGGGATTAGTGGTGACGGGGATAGTGCACGCAATTGAGGGAGGGCGGGAGGTGCTTCTTCATACTAGGTAAGACACATCATTTTATTTTATAACGCGGATATTTGCGAAGTAAATTTTTGTAAAAGCTTTTATAACTTATTCACCTTTATGTAGCTTTCTCCTCCTAATACTTCACGTATATGTTCTAATAAATAATCCTCTGTCGTTTCTGTGAGTAGTCTCCATATATGTAAGTATTTCTTCCGTTCTACTGCTTTTATTTTTAGAATAGATGAGTTACCTCCTTTTTTAATCTGATATATCCTTTTAGGTTTCACTTCAGTCCAACTATCAGTATTACAAGTTGTTGTCTTCTTTTACTTGATTTTTAGATCCTTTTCATCTGAGATGTCCACTATACTCCTGGCCAACGACGCATAACTTGTCATAATTTGTGTTCCAATAGCGGATGGTTCGATACAAGTTTTTTCAGGGCTCCCCATCTTTACTCCAAAATTGAGATTACCAGCTGACTGTGTTTGTGTTACTGTGTTTCTCGTATGGTCTTCATACAAGAAACGTGATATTTTTGGGTCTTTTAATATTTTACTTGTTTTCTTTTTTATTTTATGTTGTTATAGCAGCAATATAAATACACATTCTGTTAAAAATTCTACATATTACGGTTCATAAGATACAGCCTACTGACAGACAGACGGAACGATAGTGGAGACTTGGGTCCCGTTGATACTCTTTGGGTACGGAACCCTAATAAACGGCAATTATGTCATTTGAGCAATACTACAGAAATAAACATTAAATAATATAGAATTAGGTTATATTATAATAAGTTAAATATATTATATTATAAAATATAGTAACAATAAATTCACATATAAAAATCTCAGCTACAGGGAACTTTATTTTTGCATTCGCGGCTACACTGAATAGCGTCATTGATATTTTGTGACTTATTTATGGCTCGTGTTATTTTATGTTAAACTTTCGAAATTGTATGATACTTAATGATAGTATGTGATTCCACTGTCTTTCTTATTTCTTGTAGTATTATTTTTACACAGTTTCAATACGTAAACTGGTATTTTACTTCGGATTATGATCAAAATTTAATAAAACATTCGGTACGTTCACCTCACACGTCGCCTGCAACGCGACTGGCTCGGGTACGCCGATTTCGGCGTAGTATTTGTTGCCACATTTTACATGAGCGCCGGCGGTATCTAGTCAGAGCGCGCGATGACTTATCATTAATCTATGCCGTCACTGATTCCTTTACACAAATATCTAACACTTAGTAACACAAAGAAAATAAAATTTTATTAAATTTAACATACACAGGTTTGACACCTTTCAATTTTTTTTTCTCTTTTTTCCCTTGTTGAATTAAAAAAATATTAGGTTTTTTCATTAGTGTTCCCTCTTTCTAATCATGTGCTTTCCATGTGAAATAACGAACACGACTTAATATTAGGTTTTGAGGTATACCTGACGAGAAGATGTGCCGTAATATCCCGAACGCTGCCCAGCCGAGTTGAATCCGTCGATCGACCTCTCAGTCGAAGTTGGACTTACCTAGTCGGACTATTTGTCCCAGGTAAACATACTCGTCAACAACTTCGAGCTTAGTGCTCCCAACAAATACCGGCATAGGTGTGACATGGACATTAAACATGATCTTTGTTTTGTCCATGTTCATCTTAAGACCTATCCGTTGGGAAACACTATTGAGGTCATTAAGCATAGTGCTTAGGTTCTTCAGCGATTCTGCGATAAGAACTATATCGTCGGCAAATCGAAGGTGAGTGATGTACTCGTCATTGATGTTAATACCGTATACTTTCCAGTCCAGAAGCTTGAAAACGTCTTCCAATGCAGCGGTGAAGAGTTTCGGGGATATAACGTCACCCTGTCTTACACCTCTCTGCAATTGGATAGGTTTCGTACTCTGGTTCTGTACTCGGATAGCCATCGTAGCCCTACTGTACGGTGCTGGAGAGCTATTCTAATCTCGCTCAGACTGACGTCCGGTATATCATCGGAATAGTGTCGGATAAAACTCGCTCTTGGATCGTTACTCACATTTACGTGTGGCTCCAAGTATGATATGTACAGCTACCTCTAGCTAGCCTCTCAATCTCACTCAAAATCTCAGGTGTCCCGGAAACGACGCTGCCACACTCAGTCTTCAGCTTTGACAGTTGGCTCTTTCTGGCAGACAGATATCTATTAAAGACTTTTGAGTCCTGGTTCCGCTCGCTTCTTTAATACGAGCAGTATTAAAGTTGCGTAAGTCCCACCGCATGCATTTGGAGATCTGTCTGTTCAGTTGCCTGTATGCTGTCATATCCACTGAAGACTGCAGCTTCATATTCCGTCTAACAGCCATGAGATCAAGAGTGTAATCGGAGATTTTTTGTGTTCTTCTGCGGCGGGTCTTGCAAAACTTAGCTCCGACCGCATGGACAGTTTCCACGAGCTTGTCATTCATATCGTCCACTGCATTGCAATCTTCTAGGCACTGAAAACTGTTTCGTAGCTCGAACTGAAAGGTTTCGGGACTTTGGATTAGAGCACGAGGGACGGAGCGTTAACTTCATTAGACGTGACCTCTCCAACTCAACGGTTAGGTTCAGTGTGCCTCTTACCATTCGGTGATCGCTACCGGTTTCAGTCACTGAACAGTTGTCGTCTGGTCGTCATAATGAAGTCAATCTCATTTTTTGTCGAATCAATTTTGAAATTGAATTGAAAATCCCATTAACACCGTATAGTAGGTTTTGGAGGAATGCATGGCTCTAGAGATATCCTCATTCATGTCCTCCACCACCTCATCGGGGTGTTCCGAGTTTGGTGCGTAAACCTGTATGACCTTCAGCGAATACCGTTTGGTGATTCTGAGTATAAGGTACGCAACCTTCGGCGACACACTCCCAATCTTTACAACGTTGTTAAGAAGAGACTTGTGGATGATAAATCCGACACCTCTTTGGGACAGATAGTCGCCCTCCTGGTGATAGAACAAATTGCCGGATTCAAGGATTACCGTGTCCTCCCCCTCTCTTCGGACTTCGGATAATCCTATGACATTCCAGCGCAACTTGTCTATCTCTTCTTCCAGCTCCACAATCTTCTCGTCAGTCCTCAGGGTGCGTACGTTATAAATTGCCAGGTCGAGTCGTCGTAGGTGACAACAGAACCTCCACGGGAGATTCTTAGCACCTCCTGCCCCGCCGTTACCATGGTCGCCACCGTAGCCAGGAATGGCGGGGCCGCCGGGGACTGCGGGCCATCTCTTCGTTACTTTCATGGGGGTTGTATTGCCATAGTTGCCACGCTTGGCGAGCGGGTTGGCAATCGCAGTTTTTTTTATTGTTGTTTTGCTGTTATCAGAAAGATGCTGCTGCCCATCCTCAGCCTCAGTTTCCCTCTGTCGCCTTTTACGACACCCACGGGAAGATATAGGGTAGTGAGTTTTCTCTACTGCCACCCGTGCCACTACACGGGTTTTTGAGTTATTACTTACAATTAATACTCCTAGGAACTAAGCTAGCCAAACAATTCAAATCAAATATATACTCGTACTTTTCGTGCCTTTTGTTCGGCGAACACAGCTGATGAAGATTCGGCTGCATTCATAGCTGAAGACGATTTCAGTTTTACTAAATTCTTTACTTCTATAGACAATAGTGATAGCCTTTCCTGTCCCATAGAAGTCCTTGGAATTTTTGCTCACACACGTTTGGGGCCCCTGTAGCCCTGGGGCCCCGTATCATTGATACGGCTGATACGGCGGTAGCTACGCCCCAGAAACGTATAAAAAATATTTAAAAGCAAAAACATTGAAAAAATATCTATAAAAATGTTTAAAAATCCTGTAAATATAAATTAAGAATCATTTTAAATACGCTGCTTAATTTTGTAAATAAAGCAACTCTTTTGTTGACAGTCCTAAGCCTGTTAAAGTACGAAGGCAAATTTAATCACCACATAACTTATTATGATTACATTTATATTAATAATAATATGCGCGATCATTGAGCTAAATGAGCTAAATATATAATCCAATATAACGGGTGAATATTGCATATTTATGAACAGAAACTTTCACTATTATACTATTATTTGACTGTTACCCAGTAATAGGTACGAGTATGATAACATATTATTTGTAAAGCGTTATATTCGATAATAGGATTACGAAAATTTGATAGTAATAATATAACATCTCTAGGCACAACATTTTAAAAATTTCATTTTACCAATTTTAAAATTCCACACTAGTAACACTAATTTCTATGAAATATGTTACAGAGGTAAGGTGATGGGCGGTTCCAGCTCAATCAATTTATTAGTCTATATTAGAGGAAACAAATTAGACTACGACACCTGGGCAGCCATGGGCAATGAAGGGTGGAGTTACAGAGATGTGAGTATAAAAATTATTATGTTAAGGCTGGGTGTTCCAAGCGCATTAGACATTTACAAGCAGTCGTCGCAAAGATCGAGTCGGGCCGCGCATATGATCGTGATTATTACAAAATAATCACAAAAATATTGTTTTAAAGTCATAAACAAATATTTACACAATGAGAAATATACACGCAAACAAGAGGTTAACTATAGTCTATATAAGTCTCATAAAACTATAGTTATTACAATTTATTTTATTTTCTAAATATTATTTACGTAGCAGAAGAGGAGCGTGCACGCAAACATTTGGCACAGATGACGCACGGATCGAAAATCACTTGAATAAACGATAATTTTTTTTAAATAAATGTATTTTTAAAAAAACGATCGGAAGATATCGATTCCAAAATGAAATGAAATTTGGCTTGTAAAACAACTGCAAATCGATCGTAGGTCGGTAATTTTTGCTGGTATATTGTGATGAGAAAGAATGTATCTAAAAAAGTTTTTTCGGATTCTAAATGTAATAATTTGGCTATCAAAAACCAATTTTAAACTGGACAAGAACAGAAACACCCAGCCTTAATTTATAATTGTAAATTCATGATTACTCTTTTCACAGTTCACCAATTATAGTAAGCGGATGATGTTGCCCACAAAGACTTATATATCCTATATTAAGAATTAAAATGAAAAACATCACTGAGAAATAAGATGAAATTCTTCGTTATTGATTAAAATGGTTCTCGACACTCTCTATATAACACCCGCAGTTCTTTTTTGGTTGTCAAGTTATGAGTGATGCAGACATAATATATTTATTAGCCTCGTCACCTTTAGGATGTCCTAAAGTGATGGCTTAAGATCAACTAGGCCGCAAGTGCGTTTGCCATTCTACAGTAATAAAGAGAAATATTAACAAATAAATTTTAACATAAATTTTTCCATTTGTCCAGGTTCTACCATATTTCAAGAAATCTGAGAGAAACCTTAATTATGAAGGACTTGATTCTAAATATCATGGTGTGGACGGCGAGCAGTACGTTTCGCGGTACCCATACATTGACAAACCGTCGATCATGATGACAGATGCTTTCAACGAAAGAGGATTACCCCTCAATGATTACAACGGAGCTCATCAAGTCGGAACGCAGCAGGCCCAAGCAATATCTTTAAATGGCCAACGAGTTTCAACCAACACTGCTTTCATCCGTCCTATTAGATATAAGAGAAAGAATTTGACAGTCAAAACTAATTCAGAGGCTGTAAAGATACTTATAGATGAAAACAAAAGAGCGTACGGCGTTAAATATTTTAAGAATAATCTTATTTATACAGCGATAGCGAAAAAAGAAGTCATAGTGAGTGGGGGTTCGATCAATTCACCGAAATTGCTCCTGTTATCCGGCATAGGACCAAAGGATCAACTGGAGAGATTGGGTATTCATGTCGTAAAGGACTTAGCTGTTGGTGAAAACTTGCACGATCATGTAACTTTCAATGGTATAGTCATAGCTTTACCAAACAAAACTGCTACGATACGAGAAAACAATGAAGTATTAAGAGAAGTTATAGATTATGCCAATAAGGAAATCAAAGATGGTCCACTTTCTGGAAATGGACCTGTGAATTCTGTCGCGTTTATCAGGACCGAGCCACATTTGCCAGCGCCTGACATTCAGTATCAAACATTCAGCGTCAAGTGGAGAGAATACATTAAAGAGCTGCCAGACTACGATAGGACTAGAATTTTCCCGACGAGTTTCTACGATGGTTTGGAATCGAGGATAATGAATTTAGTCCCGAGAAGCAGAGGCAAGCTCTGTCTCAATACAACTGATCCCAACGGTCCGCCATTACTGTACTCTAACTACTACGAAGATGAAACGGATTTGATTCCTTTGATCAAAGGCACAAGGTTCTTTTTGTCTTTAGAAGACACGCAAGCTTTTAAAGCAAACGGGGCTCATTTCCTAAGAATTCAATTACCGGCATGTAGGGACCACAAATGGGGTACCGATGACTACATAGTATGCTTGGCTAGAAAATACACAGCTACAACGTACCACCCAGTAGGCACCTGTAAAATGGGGCCGAAGTGGGATAAGAAGGCTGTAGTAGATCCCAAATTAAGAGTTTATGGGGTGTCTGGACTTCGAGTAATAGATTCGTCAATAATGCCAATCGTACCTCGGGGTAATACGAATGCCCCCACCATTATGATAGGAGAAAGAGGTGTAGATTTCGTTATAGAGGATTGGTTGCATAACTACCACCACGGGTAGGCTTTTCTACTAGCTTGTTATATAATTTTAATTTCTTATCTTTTGTGAATGATTTCTGTAAATATTGTTACTCTAAAATAATAAGGCAACTGGTATGTGAAAGAGAATAATATTGTGAAAAATAAAGCAATTTTTGTGACAAAACTTTGTTTAACATTTTATTGCATTTCAGACTCAATCTAAGACTATTTAGACTGCCTCGTTAGTCTAGTGCCATGGGTTCAAGTACTTGTATGGTCTATAAATAATTTTTGCGGATCTGGATGTATGTCATAACATACATACATAAACACTCACGCCTGTCACCCAGAGGGGTAGGCAGAGACTACGGACTTCCATTTGGCGCGATCCTGACACACCTCTCTCGCCTCTTTTACATCCATATATCTACGCATACACGCTCGTCGGTTAAGGGTACTCCTAATCTGGCCCATTTTTAATGTATCGCCGATTTGGTCGATAAACCTTCGTCGGTCGGTGTCCCTTCCCGACCCTGCCGTTCACTTCTGCAACATAAATTTGCTTTGTCACTCTTTCCTCGTTCATTCTTTCTACGTGACCAAACCACCGAAGCATTCCTTTCTTAATCCTTGTCACAACGTCATCTTGCAAACCACACTTTTCTCTTATTACACTATTTCTCACCCTGTGATTCAGATTCAGCCCTAGCATACTCCTTAAGGAACGCATTTCTACAGCATTTATTCTACTCTCATGCTTCTTCTGTCAGACCCAACTTTCACTACCATACATTAAAGTGGGTACTAACACAGCATTATGAATTGCCATAGGTGCCTTAGTTGACACATTCTGACTCCTCACAATAGCGTGTAGAGCCCCATTCACTCTATTTTCTGCGTTCACTCGTCGTTCTATATCCTTATCATATCTACCATCCCTGCTAAATAAACATCCCAAATATACAAACTCATCCACTTGCTCAATCAACTCCCCTTCTATTCTTATTTCATATAAAGTTTTACTTTCTTCTCTTTCAAAAACCATCACTTCGTCAATCGTCACGACAAACAACAATCGTCTTACTTGCGTTCACTTTCATACCCCTTTCTTTCAATGACCAATTCATTAAAGTAACCATCATTTGCAACTCGGCCGCCGACGATGCAAATATGACTTGATCATCGGCGTACAAAAGGCATTTGACGGTTGACTCATCCATTCTCAACCCACATACTTCAACTTTCAAAGTTTGCAAACAACTGTCCATAAATAGGTTAAACAGCCACGGGGAAGCCACACATCCCTGTCTGACACCTTTATGAATGCCAAACCAGTCCGAGTAGACCCCGTTGATCCTGACACAAGCACTAGAGTCCCTATAAAGAGACCTTAATGCCTGTATCAAGCCAGCGCTCAACCCAAATGAGTTCAGTATTTGCCATAACACGTTCCTGTCCACTCTGTCATAAGCCTTTTCCAAGTCCAAGAACGCACAAAAAACTTTCTAGTTTTTAGCCAAAAACTACTCCGCTATCATGCGCATGGAAAAGACTTGATCCGTACACGGGATGGGCCCCTTTCTAAATCCAGCTTGCACATCCCAAATTTTTCCATCAGTTTCTTCCATAACTCTTTCAATTAACACCTTAGCATGCAGTTTTACCCACAATGCTAAGCAAGCTGATACCACGGTAGTTTTTACAGTCCTGCTGCGACCCCTTTCTCTTATATATTGGGACTATAACGGCTTTGCACCAGTCTTCCGGTACCCGTTTCAGTTCCTAACATACATTAAACAAGGTGTGCAGCAGGCCTGCAACCACACCCTCACCAGCCCTTAGCATTTCGAGTGATACTCTATCATATCCGGCTGCCTTACCTGCTTTCATGCTTTTCATTGCTTTCTTCATTTCATCTACACTTATCTCCCTACCTCTCTCCACTTCTTCCGGAATTTCTATTTCACTTATTTCAGACGACTCTTCACTCTTAAACACGCTTTCAAAGTATTCCTTCCATCTCTTTAAATTCGAAACTTCATCATTCAGCATGCAGCCATTCTCGTCTCGTATAGCATTCATTCTAGGCTGTTTTGAATTTCCCCTGGCAGTTCTTACGAGCTTCCAGAACATTTTAATATTTTCCTGGAAGTTATCAGATATCCTTCTATCATTTTTATCTATCCTTTCTTGCTTTTTCCTTTCAACAACTTCTTTTACTCTCTTATTTATACGTCTAAAGTTTGCTTTTTTTCTTTCTATCTCATCATTCATACCGCCAGAATTACCAGCTTTAGTTGCTAGTAAATCTAGCCATGCTCTCTTCTTTGCTTCAACTTCCATCCGTACCTCATCATCCCACCACAACGTATTACTTTTCCTTTCATTCGTTCTCTTACTTACACCGCATACTTCGGTGGCTGCATCCACCAAAACTTTCTTAATATTATTCCATACATTCTTCAATTCTAAATCATTCATACATAATTCATTCAACCCACTTATATTTTCCCTCAGTCTACATTTATACTTCTCTTTCACACCTTCATCTTGTAACCTCTCTATTCTTATACGCTGTAACGCAGTGGTAGACACCGATGTCCGATGCCGCCAACGTCTGAATAGACCATTAATTCGGCATAAGACCAAGTAATGATCCGTCCCTACGTTGGACCCCCGGTAAACCCTTGTATCTACCACTGCGCTCCTCATTCTTTCATCCACAATTATAAAATCTATCATGCTTCTATCATCCCCTCTTTCCCATGTATACATGTGAATCCTCTTATGGCGAAAGAAAGTGTTCGCCACAAAAATATTCTTTTCCACACATACGGTGAGGAGGTCTTCACCATTCTCATTTATTCTTTCATCGCCAAACGTTCCTAATATCCTTTCATAACCAGACCTCTTCACCCCCACCCTTCCATTAAAATCTCCTAACATAATAATATTTTCATTTTTCTTACATTTCATCAACACCAGCCTTACCATGTCCCAAAACTGCTCTCGGATATAAGTGGGCTTAGACATATATGGGGCGTACACCCCTAGCACAAACAACTTCTTTAAGCCCACTTTCATTCGTATCACTTTCAGGACGTGACGGGTGGCGAACCTCGTCGCCGGTTTTTCTCCCGGAGATTCTTCGCACCCCTGCCCCATTAAAGGGGCGCCGGGAACTCGGTGCCATTTCTTTTTCTACTAGGCTCATGGTGCGAACTAAGGGGGTGGTAGATTTTACGCCGCTACCATACGGCGAGGAGCCGAGTCTGTCGTTTAGGCTTTGTCGCTCGTTTAGCACCACCCGGGGGACACGTGTAGGGTGGGCCTAGGATTAGGTGGTCGATGCCTACGGACACGAGCGACTCATCCCCATGTTTGTCCTTGTGTAATTTATGTTTGTAAACTGCCTCCGCGACACAGGAGAAAATCCCTAACGTGGAAGTAACACATTAATTTAAAAAAAAATTTTTTATTAAAAGTTTAATAACCGATGCCCTCTCCGCGGTGAAGGCCTAGGCCAATGCCTAGTGTGCCTTATTATGAATCCATTACTGGCGTACCTGGCCCTGTTAACAACCCCCACTAAACTTAACACCGTTACTATTCCTAGGTTTCGTCTCTTAACGAGCTTACTGCTGGGGCTATTATTTCTGATGAGGCCTTGTTTAGATTAGTTTATTCATAAGATTTTATAATTTAAAAATATTTATTTGAGATTTGTTATAACGCCATCTGTCGAACAGTAGAGATATTTTATCAAGTCGCCGTAAGACCAATAAGCTAAACTACTTGAATAAAAAATTTAAATATATGTAAATCATGTGCACTTTTAATATATAATATTAGTATTGGAATATACCCTCTATAGAGTTATAATATACCCTCGCTTTTAAAAGACTCTACAAACAATTATTTATAGCAGAATCTTTTCAAATACACACTTTTCTCCAAGCAGCATCGACCCAGTTCTATTGTGAGTTATGGTAAGTGAAGTGTGTCCGGCTCCCAAGCATGCCTCTTTCCAACTGACTGTCTTCTTCTTATCATTTTGATGCTAAATGTCACTTGTCGAATTTCCTGGAAGTTAATTCTGTTCAAAAAATCAAGTTTCACAAAGCTATGACACACGAAAGAATGCTTAGCTCCCCCGTTTAGTGCTTACTGAATTTCGATTAAAATGTTTGAGCCATGTGTAGTTTTTAATCACAGTTAAACCAGTTCTTGAGGCTTAAGCTACGCCGGTGATGAATATTTTATGAAGTTTAATTTCTGAAACTTCTTTATCGAAGTAGTGGAGAAATTCAGTACGTAATTAGTTAGTCAGCATTAAAAAACTAAATGGTAAAAAACGAGTGTACTGTTATTTAAATGAAGAATGATATTTCGAAAAGAAGTTTCACTTCTAACGTGGTAGAGCCACGCTGCAGCTACATTATGGTTGTAGGACCAATGGGTCGGCTAGACTGGGGACCACGCTCTCACAGAATACCAGCGTAAAATAGCAGCTTAATGTTGCTGCTATATTTCGTATGGTGAATGTAGAGAACCGGAAACCCTTTTTACTGGAACCGAGGCATTCCATCTTAGTCCTCAGGGGTGACAACGCATCTACATTTTAATTCTTAATCGAGGATAAATGTCGAGTCACGAGATAACCTCGGAAAAACATCTATGGGCCACAGCATCCACTTTGGTGGATTGTATGCTCGTTTGTCACCCTTATTCTAAAAAAAATTAGTGTACACAATTACACGCACAATTTTTGTTTAATTTCTTGTGTAAACTCGATATAAATGTTGTTATTGTTATATATTTTTAATTTTCATATATTTCGTATTGTCCTTATTTTGTTTGTTTGTTTTATATTAGTATTTTGCTCATACTTGTAACAATTATTAAGTTATCGTACAGTTATCGTTTTTTTTAAACATGCTGTAACTACCTTTAAATGGAAACATGTAAATCTTAGTTCCTAAGCCTATTGTCACATTTTTTTAAAACAACATGTTATTCCGTTGGTGGTTCTATCAATAA